ACCAAGCACTGTCTCATCTCTATCTCCAGAACCAAGCTTAGGATTTGCTCCTGGTTGTACATCAAACCTAGAACATGATCCTCGATGTCATATAGAGAAGAAGAAGCAAATAAGAAAGAAATTGTCTATTGTCAAGGTCATACTCTGATGAGTTAACATCAAAACCGCAAGGAACATCAGGATCTGCGACCACATTTCTAACTGAACTATCCTTTAGTGGAGAATTATATCGTTCAGGATGGACTTTATCGGCATACTGCTGCTGCAACTGTTCGTGTTGCGGGAAGGCCTGTCAAGACAATTGAAAAATATCTGTCATGGGCATGGACTAAGAATTTTTCTCAACACATTGGTAAATAAAATCCCTGAATGAAGCGGAGATCCTTTGTAGGCTTGAACAAAATTACCAAATCATGAGCATATTTGATCTTAAAATACACTTAGGGTATAACTTACATGCACTGAAGGATCAAAACTTTTGATGTAATCTGCAGCAGACTGTTTAAGTAGCTGAAACAGAAGATTCTCCTTCAGATATTCATAATATTGAAGAGACGCATTCAAGATAAGATGATGAGGTAGTAACAAAATTAAGTAAAATAATTACAGCAGCTGGTTACAGTTCACACTGGTGTAGTAAATTGTTTCTGATAGAAAGGTTCTTTTTAATCTTCTTTTTTTTCTTATACTCTTATACCACGGGTATTCTTTTAGGCCTCCAAAGGGGATATTACATATAAAAGTACCAAATACTACAGGCTAACCAAAAAAAATATTCATAAGCCGTAATTTGTTGCTAATTGCCCCCAAGAAGATCATACATCCAATAGGTTAGGTCCAATTAATTGTACTGATCTTAATCCACAAACATTCCTAGGAGAAAAGACCAAAAATACGAAATTGGGGTTTGTTTGCAGTTGTATTCGCAGTACAAAAGGATAAGGAAATTTTGGTAAAACTAAATCAACAACATAAATCCACTTCACGGATCAAAAGGTTAATCAAGAATGAGAACCTCTTTGCCACCACTAGAGCCATCAGAGCCGAATAGCTGTAATAGCTGAAGAATAAGTGCCCTCTCATATTTTTCAGCTTCAACATCACATGCAGCCTGTAACCCGAGAGTTAAAAGCAGGCATTAGCAAATACTGAATTTCATTTTTATTTAAGAAAACAAATGATGAAGCTATTATACTTTGAATAAAGAAAAAGAACCAGCATCATATCCATTGCAGAAATATGAAAACATGTCTAGATGACCACACAGTTTGGGAAAAAGGAGGATTTATCATATATTAGGCAAATAGAGTGCTCTAAAGATTGAGGAGGACGTTGATAACATGATAAATGATTCAAAAGAACTGTTTGGAAGATATTGATATTCCTTACAACTTCTCATATTGATTGTGACAAGCATAGTAACGAGATATCAAGAAGCCGATTTCAATCAGGTACGGATCATCCATTGCGAACACTAAAGCAACCAACACTAATGAACTACCAATGCTAGAATGACAACGGCGCAATGCTTACATTTATTAGTAAACTAATGAACGGATTTGCAGAAGGTTTCTGGGAAGAATACGCCTGCTGAAGAATAGCGAACGCAATCAAACGTTGAGTGGAACTCAGCATCTTCTTATCCTGAGAAGCATAGCATTCAACTAGTTAGAATTGCCCATCATAACACATATGTCAAAGAACCAATATTTTTAACACATTAGAATTATAAATAACAGAACAGGTAATACCCAATTGAAGTCTTCACTCAATTATACATGTTTATTATATAAATTTCATACCCAATTGCACATAAACCCTACCACAGGGGTGATGATAAGGGATCTAGGGTTTTCCTTCATTTTTGTAAAAAAAAAAAAAAGGGCAACTCTCAATGTTTGTTCTAAAGCAGGCACAAGGAAGAAGAGAGAGAGAGAGAGAGAGAGAGAGAGAGAGAGACCTGTAAAAGAATGGAGATAGAAAAGCAGGGAATGAATTGGCGGCCATGGGAGAAAAAGGAGTTGAAGTCTGAGACGATCTCTTCGAGTGGACGTTGCTCTGCTCTCAGCAGACCAAACACGGCCTTCGATTCTTCGAACCCCAGCGTCGCTCTCTTCTTCATCTTCGAGCTTTTACCAAACACTTATCTCACACACACAGGACAGAGAAGAGACTCAGACACGAAAAGAAGAAGAAACAAAAATTTCTCTGTTCTTTTTTTTTATTTATTATATTTGTTATTTTATTTATGTAGTTCAAATCAAAGGAAGAAAGAAGTCTTATTGCTTGTGCACTGTGTAACCTAGCAACTGGACTGGTTCACTTTTCAACGGGCTACCCATTTTCTATTTGGGTGAGGCTCTTTCGGTTCGGATCTCCCAAAAAAAACCCAATGTACTCTGCCCTTTAACTTTTGTTTGAAAAAAAAATTAAACAAAATAAAAAGCACCATAATCCAGTCCTTAAGAGCATCCATAATAGGCTCCCTAAATCACATCCTTATATAAAATTTAGGAGGAATTGAAAAAACTCACCTCCAATCATGCTCCATATCCAGCTCCTAAAATAGGAAGACCTCTAGGAGTTCCTAAATTTGAAGAGAGAGAAAGGGCTCCTAATAACTCCCTATAATTAAATACTATTATATTTTATTATTATTTTAAACATTTATTTAATGATGTATTTAATTTTATCATTTTTTTCTGCATTTTATATTTTTAATCACCTTTCTATTGCACACTACCTACATCATGCACTGTCTTTTCTATTCTTTTTGCTATAGGTGCTTTGCAAAGTACAAGCAAATAATTTTTTTTTCAATTCTTTTCACTGTAGACATTTAGAAGCACACAAACACCCTTTTTTTTTTTTTAATAGTTCTTTTCTCTGTAGGTATTTTGCAAAACACAAAAACCATAGAATTGTTTTTGTTGTTTATTATTTGGGAATATTCAGTATTTGAATATGAACATTTTATTGCAAATCATGAATTAAATTTAAAAAGAAGTAGAGTATTTATGACAAAAAGAAGTAAAGCATTTATGACTCGCCAAATTAGGGAGTATGGTAGGAGTTGAAATTTTTTAGAGAGCTCGTAAAATAATTTTTTTTGTGTTTTTAGATAAATTTTAGCTAAGAAATAGGGAGCATGATTGTATATGCTCTAACAATTAATTACCGTCAACAGGGGCTAGCCTAGTGAAAAAGGGGCTTGACTTGTACAACAGTGGTTTTAGGTTCAAAATTCATGTTACCAATGTGTGTGAGAAAAACCCCCTCCCCTTTTTAACTTTACCCAAAAAATAAACTATTAAATTAGATTTAGTTTATTTTTTTGGGCCGATTGGGGAGGTTGGCTGGTGCAGCTGGGTTTTGGGGTGGGGGTGGAGTTGGTG